TCGTGAAATTACGAGACGGCCATTGTACATCTTTATGTGTCACAAACTGATGACACTAATAGACACGACATTTAAATTACCATATTCATATACATTTAATGGATATATATAAATTAAGTGATGCATTTTTATTTTATCATATCAAACTGATATTAACAGAAATGTGGTCAAATGAAAAGATTTTGAACATGTATACAAATTAAGAAAGCATTTTATTTTCTCGATTGCATAACTTCAATAACTTTTTGAGCCTGAAAAATGATACTGCAGCTTATTATATTCTTCCTTCTTAGCTTAGTTTAACTTTTTCATTATAAAACACTTTATTTGAAGAGAATTAAACACATTTACACATGAATAATGCCCTTCAAGCAATTAACACGGTATTTATATCGCATCACATTGATGTTGATAATAAGCCCAAAAAGTCCCGAGTATTGAAGAACGCAACCACCCTCTTTCGTAAATTATGAACTAAAGTAAAGATATCCATTGTCACAAACTTTTTCATTGAACCTGATGAGTAAAACAATGATAGTTACGCCTAAACAAGCTACAGAGCAGATTTTTTCTGGTTCTACAAACACAGACCCATTCTCCCCATGGCCATCTTCAATAGTAATTGTGCTACTTCCATATGACAAAGGTAAGATGTTCTATTGACACTAAGTGAGTAGAATTAATGAAACAGCGGCCAATCAACAGCTCCAGAATCCCCGACTTAAGTGCTTCCAGGAGCATCACTTCCGGCAGCTGGTTTCCGGTTCAAGTAACGAATAACAGCATCTTCAACCCTGTTAGAACCGCCAAATAAAATTAAATATTGCAGGTCACACCATAAACTATTTTTCCTTCTTCCTTTCTCATTTTAATTTATTTCCTTGGCACAACATGCACAAAAAGGATTTAAACACTTGTCTCAGATACCAAAAACAGCTGTTGGCATATCTTAAGAGTGATCAGTTGAAGTAAACAAAAAATCTCTCTGAGTATTTTATCAACCGAAAGAGGGTATATGGATTGATTATTTGATGGGCTAGTGATCATGCATATTAGAACACTGGATATCAAGTGAGGCTGCAAAGGAGCATAAATCAGCCATAAGTAATTCCATATGTAGCCATTCACGAGCCATCAGACAAGAATGGCTATGTATTGAATTAGGCACAACCTACTGCTAAAATTAAACGGTGAATCCTAGAATTAGTTGCCATCAAGCCAATCACATTTGGAAGTTATTATTGTATAATTGACTGTGCCTAAAATGGTAGGGTAAAGCCTTAAAAAGCGCAAGTGAATATTCAACAAGTCAAGATAGTAAATGACTTACCATGGTTGGTTGAAGAAATCTGCTCGGCGCTCTTTCTCAGCACTTCGACCAGCTTCTCCAGACAAAAGCTTCAAATCTTTGCTCTGAGATTCAATCAATGCATTGATAAATTCGACAGGAGATTGACTGAACCCAAGGAAAAATGCCCTTCTCCTTCTGTGCTCATGGATTTTCCTGATAGCACCACATATTGCTTCATCACACTGATCAATTTCTTTGTTCTTCTCAGTGTTGGCCAATAGAGCAGACAATTCCCTCTGTATTGGAAAAGGCACATCAACCAGTACATCATAACATGCAGTGCCAACAGGACTGTTTCCAGAAAGCTTAATCTTGTGCTCCAAAAGTATAGGTTGTGGAGGAGATAAATGATGTGATATCTTTTGTGAAACCATGGTGAATTTCATCTTTTCTTCCCCAAATACTTTCTGTAGAGGTGCATCACAGTTGAAGAATGATGGATCATTTGGGTTCTGTAGTTTTCTAGCCTTTACATAATGCCAAATTGCAGCTATAATTCTTGGGCGTGTATCAACCTCAATACCAAGAACCTCTGTTAATGCTGGAGAAAGCTTATATTTCTCAGGCACATAATTCATTTCCAGCCGAATGTTTACCGAGAACTCTTTATCCCCTTTTCTCTTTACCTCAAAACCCTCATGAGGTGCAGGTGATCGAGCATTCTCCCAAATAATGATATGGTTATCAGGATATAGTCTCTGGTCCAAGGAGATAGTTACTCTCTTGAAGAAGGAAGAGAACTTCGGGTACAAGGGATTAGATTTCTGAACAATTCCAGGCTGGTCTGGATCAACCCCATCTTCCAAGATCCTCCCAATTATCTTCAGCATCCAGGTAGGCGGCTCAGCATTTGGCTTCTTTGGAATTGTTTTAATCTGATTAGCAAAAGTATTGAAGATATAAATCCTCAGAGTTTTCTGCACACAAGGAGGGTTCTTAAGTGCCTCCTGAATGTCAACCTTCTTTCTAGCCAAAGCAGAATCAACACGAGCCTCAAACTCAAGGAGCTGAGTATACAAGGCAGATTCGGGCAGAATCGCTGCCACTCTATCTTGTAACTGTTTCTCTGGAAGCTTCTGCTTCTTCCTTCTTGCAGCAGGTGTAAGATCCATAGTTTTCAAAGGGAAACTCATGTTCGCCATAGGAACCCCAGGTGGACGCACTGGTGGCTTTTGAGGCATCCTTTTCAGACTTGCACTGCCAGGAGTTAGATTGGAAGGTGAAGATGAACCTAAATTTCCAATACCAGAATTCTGGAGTTGGTTAATGGAAATGCCTTGGGCTTGTAAGTGAGCTTGGAATTGGGCCTGAGCTGCTTGCACTTGCGCTTGCGTGTGAGCATGAATTTTTGAGGCAGCTAAAGCCTGGGCTTGCAACTGAAACTGGTTCGGGAACCCAGCAACCATTTGTGCTTGAGCTTGTGACTGTGTAAAACTAGGGTTTGTGGACATAGATAGACTACCCATTCCAGCATTACCAAAGGGCGAAGAAGATGCCCCATGGCTCTTTTGTGGGTTATTATTATTGTTCACAGACATAACTATCTAACAAATTATCACACCCACCAGAAGAGGAAAAAAAAAAAAATCTGATCACCAACAAAATCTAGACTTCGTATAAGCAAAGCAGCTAAAATCAGTTATCAAATCTAAAACCCACAAAAGATACACAGACCCAAGTTGGATTTCCAGCAAAACCCTAATACCCACAACACTAGAAAATCAAAACCCTTAAAAATTGAACCTTTAGAAACTAAATTCCAGTAAAAACACCTAAATCCAAGTAGTGTAACAAACAGAGAGCAATAATTGCGCAAGAAAAAGGGAGTATCGTGGGTTTAAGATGCTCAGTCAGTAAAATTAACAATAAGATGCCCAGTCAGTAAAACTAACAATAGTAAGTGATTTGTCAATTTTTTCAAATGAAGTTGAAATGCTAATACAAAGAAGACAATTCTTACAGAAGTGACAGCAATCCAAGTTCGGTCCTTCGCTCGGCGTCCGACTGAGTTAAGACTTAGGACCGGCGATGGATAGAGGGACTTCAGAATATTTCTTTTTTTCCTTTTTCGGTTTGGTTTTGTCTTCTTGCTTTGCTTCTCCCTTTGTTTCCTTCTCAGCAATGCGCACTTACACACTTGAATCGAATACAACTGCCCATGTTTAAATGGGTCGGGTTATTTAAGTGAAAATAAATTATAATTCTTTAGTTTTTTTTTATTAAATAAAGTATACGAATTAATCTCCCATGCAATTTTAACAATGGTTGATGCCTGATTTTTAAATCAACAACTCATAAATTGGCACGTGAATAATTATAAGAGTTGATTATGGTGTAAAAATTATATATGTTTGTAAAAATATGAATACTAAATTGATAATAGAGATTTTTATAGTGGTTCATTCGGACGTTTAAAACAAATTTTATATCCACTGTTATTTTATTATTCTCTTATTATTTTTCTGATATTGTCTATAAGGCGTACAAAAATAGAGAAATATTTTATTTATAGAAAAAAAATAATGATTGAAACTCTCGTTTGTGTCCAACTCTCATATGCTTAGTCCCCTCTTTCATGAAGAGATGTATTCATTTATACATTTAATAACTAATACTATTTTATCTTTAAATATTTGTTAAGCTCTAATTGGTAGTGTTGATATTAGTATATATTTTTGGCACAACAGTAATGAAAATATATTTTAAAAATAATTTCAAACTCGTTTCAAATATTAAAAATGATGAAATATAATTTAAAGTTCACTTTTTTAATAAAGATAGTTAACAACTTTTTAAATAATAAAGTTTTGAAACATAATATAATTTTTAGTGGCTAATAATTTTTAATTTAATGAAAATTATTAGCGATTGCTCATTCAAGTGAAATCTTTTTCATAAACATTTTTGTTATCTGTACTTATTTGTATAGTGTTATATTATTTGATATTGTTATAATCTGTCACATTTATCAAGTAGATAAGATATAATATTTTTTTTATTTTATAATTTTAGTTATTTTTATTATTAATGAAATAAATAACTATAACAAACGAACTTGGGCCGTCCAGTCACGCGGCCCAAAGGCCCCACACTACTTGTAACGGCTGCTCTCACTCTAGCAGCCCATCTCACTAACTATGCATATTTGTATGCTGAAGCTGAAACTGGAATCCTTGAATGTTTTTCAAGTTTCTATGTTTTTTTCTTTGATGATGAATGTTCTGTATTGAACAGATCTGCCTTGGTAAGAAACTTTTCAGGTTGCAAATTAATTAAAACACTCTGCACAATCATAAACTATAAAGGAAAATCATATAGCTTTGGTGCCAAATCCTATCCTGCCATGATTTTCTTATGTCTATTAATGTTGAAAGTAGCTGCACTAATTTGGCTTAATCATTTAGCTGAATCATCTGACATAATCTTCTTATTCTTCTGTCAAAGTTCCCAAACTATTGGAAAAGTGATGTGCTCTTGAATTTAATGTGATTAGTTTCAAATACATTTAGAACTTCGAATACTATGAGATTCTGGCAGTTGAAAAGACGAATAATATCACCATATCAGCGCAATCTAGTGTACAGAAGCTACTAAAATTGGCTGGTCATACGTCAATGATTAGAAAACTGAGTGGCGTAGAAGGAGAAGATGAGCAAGGTTCCTTAGATTACCCAAATCCAAATGTCATATGGAAGTTTGAAGGGACACCTCATGCAATACATAACAAGATAATAGAAATGTCTCACAACTCCCTATCATCGAAACCCAGTGTTTATTTAGAAACTCTATGATAATAAGATTCATGCTATCATAACAGAACAGTTGAGAATAAAATGACTAAGTGGGTTCTGGCCACACTCGAGAAGTCTCCATTGCAATTTCTTGGAATCAGATTTGGGACAGCATGTGTATATGCTCATACTGTCATTAGAAGCTGCCGATGCACCAATTACAAGCAGCTCGTTGCCCAGTGATTTGAATGCTACACCCCATCCTCTATTAACATCAGCTCTAACTGGAACCGATTCTAAGTTCTTCCATGAGTTGCTCTTTTTCAGATACACCCTTAATTCATTTGAAGAAGTCTCAAGCGAATAGAGCTCATTGTTTACTACAGCAATAAGGGGCGGTGACTGAAAAGTCTCTGCTGGAAAGTCTCTCAACATCCCTGGAATCAGTTTCCATTCTTTTGTACATTCATCATAGGCCTCTCCACAATAAAGAGGCTGATTGTCTTGATTTCGCCCACCAATTACATAAAACTTATCATCCATGTAACAGCCTGAGCAAAGCTTTCGCTGTTTATTCATGTCTGGAAGTTGGTCCCATGATTTAGTCTGCGGATTGTACCTCTCTGCAGTATTTAAGACTCCAGAACCAGCTTCCAACCCGAGCCCACCAGCTACATATGCAAAGGTGCCACAGGTAGCAGACGCAAATAAACACCGGGGCCTTATCATGGAAGGACCCTTCAACCATTTGTTTGTTTCTAATTCATACCTCCAGACGACACCACCATCTACCTCCCTACCTGAAACAATGAGGTGAGTTCCAGCACAAAGTGACTCCTTATCTCCCAATTGAAAACACAGTTCTGATGGTAACTCTGGAAGCATTCGACCAGACCTAAACTGTCTATCAAATGCCCACCAACTGCTATGGCCACTTGCAAACATAAACACAGTTGTTTCTTCAAACCCATATGTCTTTCTAATCTTGAGGAGTTCACCACTCTTCAAAAGATTGAAAAATCGCTTGTTCACTGAATAAAACTTCCAGTATTCTTCTCTCGGAACCCGGGCCACAATTAGATTCTCCAAGTCATCATTGAGGGAGGGAACAAAAGAATAATCTGCATCCTGAGGTCTTTCACCACAAAGCTTCATCTTTTTCGGTGAAGTAACCAGATCATCATCACTACTATTCCCAACAAGCATCCATTCTTCCAAGATGTCTTGATCATTTATGCCCGAGTCCTCTCTACCTTCTTCACCCTCAGTTTCTTTGTCCCTTGACATTGATCAGAAGCGCTATAGACCTCAAAATTCTGTAAAATTGGCAAGGGAAAAACTCGATCCAATCAGTCATAACCAATTAAATAACTTGTTCTCACAACTTATCCTTGTAACGAATAAGATGAAAAATTCAAACCTTAAAAAAGGGAACACTAAACCATCAAGTGATGTAAGCTCAACCCATGAATTAATATTAGGTAAACATCCTTTGAAAATAAAAACCACAAAAAAGAAAAACAGAGAAACTATAGCCTAAAGCAGATTATCACGGATTGATAAAAATTATAACAGTGGTAAGTATATGCCTGAAAGAAACATATATAAACCAGATGAAAAACTGAGGGCAAAAGCAGCCTTGCAAAACTAGAAAATAAACGTAGATGATCAAAATTAAAGAGAGGGATGAATATAGACACATCGATGCAGATCTATTGATGACAAAACAGTTCTCTAAACAATTTTCGCATTACAGACTATAATACAAAAGTTAATAAAATTCCCACAGGCAAGATGGAAAATTGTGACCATCTGATTATTTCTTTTTCATGTATTGATAAATTTTTAAGAGATGAGTGCGTGCTGATATAAAACTTTAGAAACTTTATCATCAACCAAACAGACACTTTAGATCCATAAAGTCATTTTCTTGCTATGAGTTTATCAAATTCCTCTTTAAAAGGGAGATAAATCTTCATCATAAAATAAATTCAGAAAATAACTGAAGAAAAAAATGATCAACTATCATTTTCATACATGAGTTGAACACATTCAAATGAAAACTACACCCACATGCTTTCTAAAAAAGAACAACAACAACAACCCATAACAGAAGAAAAAATAGAAAAGAAAAATCATTTATAGCGTGAGTTGATTGAAAAGTGAAAATAGATACATACATAAACACATGCACAGAAAAAACACAGCAAAAGGACTGCAGGCAAAGAGTGTACCACAAAATGAAATGAAGAAACCGAGCATAAATAAAATAAAGACAAATAAATGAGATGAAAGAGAAGCCATACCAGGTAAGGGAAGTTTGAAGTCAAGACAAAGGGAGAAGTAAAAGAAGGGACGGTTATAGTCTTGAGTTGTTCATACATAAACAAACAGTGAGAGAGAGAGAGAGAGAGAGAATGAAGGTTTAAGAGTTTGAAGTAGTAGTCGGATTGATTATGGAAGAAAGAGAAGAAGAAAAAACAAAAAGCATAGAGTAGTAGTTAAAATAAAAAAGCAGAGAGTGAAAGTGAGAGAGAGAGGCCATTTGAGAGAGAGTTGAATGATATGAAGACACCCCATTTGCTGGAAATTTAAGCTTAATTTACTATATTGTGGGGGAATTTATTAATAATTTACTTATGTATTATTCTCACTGTTATCATCACCAAAACCCACAAATGGTTTTTGAAATGAAAAAAGCACTTACTTTATTATACAGTGTGTTCAGTGTTGCGTTGTATGAGATGAAAGTCTTTGTCTTTCTGTTTCTCTAGTTTTGAGTTGTTTCTTACTTTACTTTCTTCCTGTGGAAGCCATAAACAATTCTTTTTTTTTTTTTTTTGCAGAGCCAAAGTCATGGTTGGTTGATTTTTTGTTTTTCATTTTTTATGAGGATTTATTATATGTTGACGCTCTGATTGAGAGCGTGCAGACACTCGGTGGAAATAAATAATTAAATAAATCACTTTAAAACGTTTTTGTTTTTATTCATTTTTGGGATTAAGGAATGAGGGGATCCAGCTCACGGGACATAAATTACACCAAAATTTTGGTAGGAATAAACCAAATAGCAACTAATTAGGTTAATAAAATGTTTATAGCAAGTAAACATTAAACCTTGCAGATTCAGTGAATAAATACAATGAAATACTATTTAATTTGTATGCATGACTTTATTAAATGTTGTTCCCACAAATCACATTTATAAACTAACTTACTACATTTTTATCTCTATATTAAAAGTCTAAACAACCCAACTTTTCAAAATGTCTTATAACATTATATATATATATTCTATCATTGAGAGTCTTTATATCAGTTTACGCACAACTCAACTAATCTTCGAGATCTTAGAACTGTCAACACTTAACTATTCTTTCTAAATCATGGAATTATCGGCCAGATAAAAGTCCTATGACCACTCCTATTAGTGCCTAAAAATCTCAATAATTGCTCTTATTAATGTTTGAAATGATTCAAACTCAACAACTCATAGAATTTTCTTTTGTTATTTTACCATTACACAATTTATACCATTTAGTGATGGTTAATATTTATATTATTAGTATTAAAGGAGATTTCAGTTTTCTGAAAAAACAGAAATAAATGAATATTTTAACAGTGGGGTATAAAAATAATATAAGACTGAGACTGGGACTGAGAGCTAAAAGATTTCTTATTTGAATTAGCCAATAGTAATGAGAGTGATTTCAAACACTTAAAGATGTAATTGAATAAATAAAAGGTGTATATGGATAATGGGCAAGCCCAGTGTGTTGTCCTTTTGGTTTTAGTTCATTCTTAAAAAAAGTAATGGACACCAGTAAGCATTTCAGAAACCGACCTTCGTGGGATGTGTAAATCCATTAATTAATTAATTAATTTCATTTTTAACTTTAAGGGATACCAAATACTGTGACGTTTTACGACCACATAATTAATCAACAACATTTTGAAAGCATTAGAATATGGAATTACAAAATGTATTGGTCTGATCCAAAAAGTTCTCTTGTTGTCAAAAATTAATCCAATCATATCATAAACATAATATAAGGATTTTCCATAATATATCTAGAAGAAGCTATGTAGGATAGGGCTTTGAAGAAGAAGTAAATTATGTGATGTGCTGTCCAGGATCAAACTATAGTTTATAATTTATATTATATTAAAATGTGTAGCTCGTGAAGAAAGAGTGCAAAACAAGTGGGCAGTTAAATGGAATTTGATTAAGTATTAATTTATCAGGCCAATACATCTGTTCCATTTTGAGATTGTACGAATTAAATAATATTATTTATACACTTAGATTAAGGGCAGATTAATTAGTTTAATCAGAAGCCAATGGCTGAGAAAGATGCCACATCCTTACCCTAGAAAGTGGAAGCCCATTGGATAAGCCTTAATGAATTAAATAAATTAATACAAAGTTTGTGTTGGCTCTCCACTGATTAGTGTAGTGGATTTGCTTTCTTTAATCTTGGTTTAAAATATTCTAAATCAAGGTCCCACTGTCATAATTGTGTAGGTTTAATTTAGCATTTTGTATAAGACGGGTGTCTTGATTTAAGGGTCTTAACTCTGGAGTAAAAGGACAAAGCATAATCAGCTTTACTTTTCAGCCCACAGATGATGAAAACCCAACTAACTCTTCTCCATTACCACTAATACATGTTTATGGTTATGGAGATTAAGGGTTTCCTAAAACAAACCTTAAAATGGGTTTCTTACCTAAACTAGCCACTTTTCGCCATGCTCACAACTCATGGTCATGGGGGGAGCTGCCAATAACAAAGACAAATTCCATGCTTTTCCAAGCTTTTAAATCAACACTGATTTTTCCCAATATATATATATATGAAAATGGGCCTCATCCTCAGGCATAGTTACATTGTCCCTTCTGATGCGACAATTTTGATCATCTTAAGCCACAAATCTTTCACATCAAATGCACCCAATGGCCTCTCAACATACAATCAAACATAATGTGCTTATTTAAAATCCCACTAAATTTCCTCCTTTTATGTTTCCTGGTAGGGGCGCACAAAATAACTGTGAAAACCGAACAGTTCGGTACGGTTTTTTTAGATGGAAAACTATTCAATTTTTTTTTTTTTTTTTTTAAAGAATGGTACGATACAATACAATACCAAAGATAGTGAAGAAATGGGGAAGGCAATGAAAAAGCAGTGGCGGTGCATGCAGCAGTAGAGCACAAACACATTGATTTTGTAGTGGCGTAATGTCCACATCGATCCATGACTCAAAATTTCCACTTCAACTGTCAACGGTGAAGATAAGAAAAGAACAAATGGATAAATGATGTAGAAATGACTTGACTCACTGTTTGATGATTTGATTAAATAATGTATCACAGCACGAGTAGATAATGATACTTTGTGGTGAGAATGACTTAAAATAACACAGAAACATTATTTTGGACTTAGTTTTTCTTATTTGGGCCTCACTTTATTTGATTAGCCCAAATCTAGTTTGCTCCAACTGGGTCCAATTTCAAAGCCCAAATTACAATCAAAACAGGATTGCCAATACCGGGTTAACCCATGACCGAAAACGAACAAGATAGGACCAAGTAAAGGCCAACAAAATCCACAAATCCACAACACAAAGCATAACCAGTAATCATCAATGGCGACCTCACTCTCCAACATCTTCTCCTTCATCTTGCCCTCAAACCCACCCCTCAAGGCTCCTCCTCCACCACCACCCTCCCACCTCTCTCTCTCTTCTAATATTGTTCCCAACCCACAAAAACCCAGAAACGCTTTGATTTCAAAGGTGGCTCAAGAGAGTCATAACTCGTCTTCTTCACACTTATCAACTGAATTGGCCTCCGTTATATGTCCTTCTCTTGTGTATGCGAATACCCTCTTCTTTAAATCTGCGTACAATGTTCAGGTGATTGTCGATGAGAATGAACCTGAAGAAAGGCTGTTGAATAGGTTTAGAAGAGAGGTGATGAAAGCTGGTGTCATTCAAGAGTGTAAAAGAAGGAGGTTTTATGAGAATAAGCAAGATGAGAAGAAGCGGAAGACGCGTGAGGCTGCTAAGCGTAATCGGAGAAGGTTTGTTTTTTTATTCTATTTTCTTTTTCTTTGTTTGATATGAAAGAATGAGATAAACAGAAGAGAAAGATTTGTATTTTAATTTATGTTTTCTTAAATTTGTTTGAAATGAGATAAGTTTTTAAATTGTCCAATTTATCGTGATAAAGTAGATAACTTTATAAGAAGGAAGCCATAGACGTCTGAATGTGGCTCAGTTAAGTGATCAATTTCCCATATTTCTGTTTCGGTGCAAAGCAAAAACTTATAGTATGTATCTTTTCATTGTTATGTCTGAGCTACATTGTTGAAAATGCTGGTTTTTGTGTTTCCTCTTTGCTGTCGTTATGCCTGTATTCTTGTGTGTTAATTTACTATATAGCTGCTATGGTTCTTTAAATTTCAAGGTGCTGGTATCTGTATTAAATACTATTTGATTTGCGAAAATTTTAAGTGTACTTAAATATTTGTGATATTATTAGTGTCTTGAGATGCCACTCATAAAGTTTACACCATATTTATATTAGATAGATTTTACTTATCATAATAAGGTGATATTATGGAATTCTTGTGGTTATAGGTGGGTTTATAGGGGATGCTCATGAGGGATTCCTTTTGCCTGTTTATCTGTTAAATTGCTTTCAAAGGGATTATTTACTACTCATTTTTCGCACCACATGAGCAGGCGCACAGGAGGAAGATTTTCTTTTCAGAACAGGCAAGAACCGTCAGCAAACAAGAAGAAAGAAGTAGAAGAAGAAGATAACTGGGAGCTGCCTGAAGGAGACATTCCTTATTGACTACATTGGACCATGTATTGTATCTGTAGGACCATCCGCTGTGAACTTGATTTTGAGAGGCTTTTGGTTCTTGTAAGTTGCATTAGGTTAATTCTGTTGCTTGATTGACTCAGAGCCTTGTAATTTTTTTTTTTTTTTTAATGCAAAGTAATGATTTCTTTTACGTAAAAATCATTTTGCCTTAAACTTATGGAAGTTCAGTTGATATACTGGTTTGGTTCTTGGCCGAAATGTTCTTGGAAAGCTGCTAGTGAGAAATACCTGTACTTGATTTTTCTTCAATTTTATCTGGAACTTTACCCACGTTCTGGAATTAACTTGTGCAGTTTAAGTTCTTGCCCATATATGTGAGCTCAGTATGGTTGCGATGATATCGGAGGTATGAGATCCTGCAATCTGAATTATGATGGTGAGTATCATATAGGAGTATTGTTAGAAGTTTCTCGGACAAAAAAGAATTTATGAACCTCTCCCTTTGTGGTCAGATGGTAAGTCCTTTAGTTACTGAGGTTAGTTATACCCAAGGGTTTTGTGTTCAAGTCGCGAGAGAAACACTTATCACATTTGTACAATTACCTTGGTCCATTGGGTTCGGGCTCGTAGAGTGTTTTGTGACCCTGAGAATTAGGCAGGCTTGGCTTAGCTGATAATTGTGCCCTTGATACCTCATTTATTAAAAAAAAAAAAAAAAAAAAAAAAAAAAATTATGATTAGCATCTTGGTGGCCTAGGCCTTTAGCAGATTGGCATCACAAAGGCCAGAGATAAAAACAAAACACTGAACAGCATAATGCAATTTATTCATGATGATGATCCTAAGACTGCAGGTGTATAGGCATATCTGAGGGGGGAAATACTGAAGCTGTTGCACAAACGGGTATGGAAGGACAATGAAATAGTTTTGTCAACCTTCCAAAAACTTCAAAAATTTTCTAGTGAACAATACATGCCTGGCAGCTCGAGTCTTTTAAGTAGAATTTATCTGGAAAAATTACTGGATCGAATAGAATCTTATGAGGAAGATGATTTTGTTTCTCATATCAAAGAACTGATACAATTTTTTTTGTTTTGTGTGATCTGTATTTCTTTTTAATGCTGCCTCATCTATCTTTAAAATAGCCAATTCGGTTGAAGGAAAAAACTTATGTTGGTTGACATAATAGCGAATTCTCTTCATGACTTGCATTTGCTTGGAACTCTCCATGTAACTGATGATCCTCTCAAACTAGTTTTTCCCGAAGAGAGTGCTGTGAAGTGTCTCCAATCTTCATGCAGCAGCTTCAGGTCATGCACCTTACTTTGAATGCTGTCACAGCAGTTTGCATGCACGGTAACTATTTCACTCATGTTCCTCCTTTGCTGACAGAATCCATTGAAATGAGACTCCTCCAGATATTTAACCCGAAAACCAATCATTTCAAAGAAAGGATCGGTTACAGTAGCCTCACAGAGAGATTGGTTTTGAGAATTTGGATACAAAACCCTTTTCAACTCCCAGTTCTTGAAGTAGTCCAGTGATATTTCATTTGATTTCAGGTAAAAGAATCCTCCATCTACCTCGCTGGCAATGCTTGGTGGATCAACTGAGTAGAAATTACACACAATTTCCAGTTCCTTCATATCAACGATATATGTAGCCGGATTTCTAAACCACATCACGTCTGCATCCTGAAATGGCAAATTTGACATGCATCCAAAATCAAAATGAATTAAGATATCATGTCATTTGCATATTTATCAAAACTGAACTTACTGTGAAAAACAAATTTTAACCCAGTTCAATAACTTGTTCAAGTAACTTGAACTTGAGGGAAGGCATAAGCAATGGCGTAGTGGTGTTGGCGAGGAAGAAGCAGTGGGGATGAATGGAGTTGCAATAATGAAAAGCCTTGTTATCCAGAGCAACTATCACCAAGTGATTCAGAAAGTGTTTAGTTCCATGGCCAATACGAAAGCTTTCCAGGAGGTCAAGGATAGAGCCAGGACTTGCCCATGTTTTTGATCAACAATGGTCAGAATGACCGATCTATCTGGCATTGATGCTCTTCTTAATACTTGCTTCAACTAAGCAGTTCTTGACTCCTGCTATAACAAATAACAAAATACAAACGGCTTTCAATTTTTTATGATAGCCAATTGGAAACCCATAACATATTAACATGTACCCTAAAGAGAGAAAATGTAGTAATTAAATCCATGGTGGCCTAGTTAACGATCATTTTGTTTTTCCTGTGGTGGGGTCAAACAGACATGTGAAATATTTACCGTATTTATAAATGATTAAAAGAAATCTTACAGGTTGAATTTTGAAGTGCTTTGTTTTGACAATCTCTCTTGCCGCAGGCTTGGAAAAGTTGTGTGAAAGGAGAAGTATACTAATGAGCATGATCAGCGCAAAAAGAAGACAATATGGAGACCTTATTGTTCTAAACACCATTTTTCTCTGCAAACAATGTCGACTTGGGTGCATAATGAGTTTTTATGACCCACAATCTCATTATAACTCTAAATATGGGAAATGCATTTACAAAGAAACTAAGCATTAATCTCAAAAGATCCTTCAAATCCATTCTAATTCTACAAAATCTCACTCCATTTATTGCCTTCAAACAAAACTCCACTGCTTTTTAACTAACAACCACTATTCATATATTTGATCAAATCCTAAGTTTATAAGATCATTAACTAATATCTTCTTTATTAAAGGTATTTGTTAGACATCTTTATTAATTAATGATATAAAATCAATAATTCGATGCTTCACCATGAATAAAAAATGGTTTCTCAGTATTATTACATTGAACATTCAACAAATTTGTTAGATAAAAGGTAGACAATTTCCTTTAATGGTAAATCTTGCTTCCCATGTATTTATATGGAATTGTTGTCAAGAATCAAGATGACCAAGATGGTCTCGTACAGAAACTTGCATATAAAATAAAATATTTGAATTGAGAGATCTTAAAAATTCCATGTCTCTTGGGAACAATTTTCAATTCTTCAACCTCCATCATTACCATTCTTATATCTATGAACAACACTTCTCTCCTAATCAAAGTAATTTAATCTGAATTCTTATGTCCATCACCGTTAACCATAAATCAAATGAACCAATGATAATGGGGATTTCATTTTGTTATTGAAAATGTTACACTTCTTACATGAAAATTATAGATCATATTTATAATAAGACTGTGAAAAATCAACCAAAATAAAAATCAGATTATATAACCCTAAGAGATTGGTTTCCTAGTCAATAAAGTTTGCTTTCTTCATTAATTTCTTAAATTCGAACCATTTTATGACTATTTATCATATTTGTGGTTTATCTGAAAATATTAAACTTATAAAGTGTTTAATAAACTCCAAAGATTAGTTGAAGTATGCATATATTAACTAAGACATATCTGTCTTTGAAAAAAAAAAAAAAAAAGAATCTAGGAACCTAAATCTGCGCCAACAAGTCACGAAAAGAAGAGATAAACAAAAATAAAGTAACAAACAGCCAAAGCGATGATATATAATTTTTGCAATGCATTACATTATTAATAAATTATATTGTTTATTTATAAGTTGGTTCGTGTTTATGGTGGTAGCAGGTGACGTCTCGAAAGTCGAAAATGTGTTTATTGCATGTGAATTTCATGACGAATATTTATCACAAAAATTGCTTTACATAAAGTGACGGAAACAGGTAGCAGAGGTCCATGCTTTTGCTGTACGCCAAACTTTTCAAGCACTAAACGGTCAGGATAACTCTATCTCAATTCAATCACAAATTCACAATGCTTATCATCTCTTAATGATGTTATTGTTAAGGAAAAGGTTCCCATTAAATAAAAAGACCCAAAAGCTGAATAAGATGGGTTTGGCGTAACAAATCAATGAGGATGTTTCTATCAATAAACTTCAAGCTGCTGGTCCTGCAGAGACCCGAGATAGGGGGTTGGTCTGTGGATCAGGTACACTGATTTTTGCCACGTCGACCTGTAACACCATCACATGTCAGTCTCACTGACCCAGTTTTGATTATATACAAAGGAAATTCAACTTTCAAGTGGGGCCGAAACCCATGTTGATATGTCCATTAAATTCGTATATTACCAGAGATCAATCAATCGCATTAATCATGTGCATATAATATAAATGGATAAGGAGGCTCTTCAGTAATCCGAAGAGCCGGTTTTTTGTGCACCGTTGATCTTTGCAAGATCATCCGCTCAGATCTGTGCAAGTGTCTCACTGGGGACAAGTGGCCAAGAGGGTAGAGCTTATCTGCCATATACACACGTGGAGCCAAATCATGAAGAGAATTTTCTGATAATAAAGAAATGCATTTTCATTATTATTGTTGCCCACAAGCAACAAAGATCCAATGGAGAAATACAATGTATTAGCTGGAGCTGCATGTTGTTGAGTATGAAAATTTTATGCAGAATTGAAGAAGTGGATTCAACTGGGGATATGATTTTAGTAAAGGGATTCATTTGTATAGCCTACTGTCATCAAAAACTCGTAACAATGTAATTATAGATTAGATCTTGGTTGTTATTTTGTTGGGTTATGATTTCTTTTAATAGTACGAAGCCATTACTCTTAATGCAGAGGCTATTATATGCATACCATGATCAAAAATCAATTACCTAAATGTTTTGGTAATTGCTTTGAAGGTAAAACATTATAATCAAAATCAACCATGCCAAGAAATTTGGTTCTTGTAATTCTAGGTGAGGGAATCATTTATTGAGAATAGTCCAAGCTTAATAATTGCCTTGAATGACTGGACCACCCAGAAGGGCGGAAAACGTTTGCCTTTTGCCAATTCTCATGAGTTCACTCACCAAAATAATTGAATTGCAATCAAATTTATAGCCTTTTATTTGACAGCTTGGCTAAAACAGCGTTATCAAAAACATAAGAAAACAAAACTACATTTGTTTGTTTATTTTAGTAAAGACAAATTGAAGAGTGTGAGTGGTATATAATAGACACTGCAAATAATAAATTCCGGGAACACAAAAAGTTGGTTCACTCTCTTCCAATCTAGAGCCAACAAGATCAGAGCCTCAACTGAAGCTTTTTGAGTGCTTCAATGGAGGAAGATTCAAGTCAAATGGCAAAAGCAACATCAACCCACACGGAAGCTGAAGCTCACGAAGAAGAAAGAGACCCGGAGAGCAACTCATTACATCAACCACTCCTGAAAAGAAACAGAACGTTGTCTTCTAATCCACTTGCCCTGGTTGGAGCAAAAGTTTCCCATATAGAGAGCTTGGACTATGAGTAATAATTTATAATTGAATCTTCTATTCTTTCTCCTTCTCTTTTCCTGATTTTAGTCTCATCTGAATAACATTTTGTAAGAATTGTAGTGGCTTTTCTTTGGTAGGATCAATGAAAATGATCTCTTTAAGCATGACTGGAGACGCAGATCAAAAGTACAGTTGTTGCAGTATATATTCTTGAAATGGACACTGGCCTGCATTGTTGGACTGTTAACAGGCTTAATTGCCACCCTTATCAATCTTGCAATTGAGAACATTGCTGGATACAAACTTCTTGCTGTTGTAAACTTAATAGAGAAGGATAGGTATTAATTCAAAGTTATGTTTATGTTACAAAAACTTATTAACTAGCTTTAATATGAGCTCTGAATTTTTCTTTTTCTTCTGATGATGACAGGTACATAGCAGGGTTCTTCTATTTCACCGGGATCAATTTTCTTCTAACCTTGAGTGCTTCTGTTCTCTGTGTATGTTTTGCACCTACTGCAGCTGGTCCTGGAATACCTGAAATTAAAGCTTATCTGAATGGAGTTGACACTCCAAACATGTTTGGTGCTAGAACATTGATTGTCAAGGTTAGTTCTCTATCAACCTTTGTATAGATTTCCTTCTTAAATCGCTTTGTACAAGTTTCAACTGTTTAATTTTTGTGGCTTGGTTTAGAGAAGAATCTTCTTGCGGTTACAGCTTTTTTCAGTGGATTAGATTGAGTTAGAGTTAGATTTCCCAAAGTGGTTTGATTTTTAATCTGAAAACGAACTTCGAACATAAACCTGCTCCTCTGTCTTAGATTTCAAGTAGATATTTATTGCGAGCTACTGCAGATTTGGAAATGGTCCATGGTTTACTTCACATCAGAGGTTTATCCATATTTTTTACATCAAGTCCTGTAAAACTTACAAATCAAAATTACTTTTTGATATTTTCTTCAGCTTATTACTTTATATTCACAGAACAGTAATATGGAAAGAAGCTATCTCTTGAATAGATTCAGTTGATACAAAAATTACGTAATTACGTGACAGTTTGTATTTCGTTTATGTTTATGAGTTAAGTGGCCTGATACTTGTTAAAATTCTTGCTTCATTTTTGTTTATTAGTGAAATGAGCTGATAATTTAATGTGTGATGAATGCAGATCATTGGAAGCATTGGAGCAGTCTCTGCAGGACTAGATTTGGGAAAAGAAGGGCCTCTGGTGCATATTGGAAGTTGCATTGCTTCATTACTAGGTCAAGGGGGGCCTGATAACTACCGTATAAAATGGGGATGGATTCGCTACTTCAATAATGACAGAGACCGGCGTGATCTCATCACATGTGGTGCATCCTCAGGGGTATGTGCCGCTTTCAGAGCACCGGTGGGTGGTGTCTTGTTTTCTCTTGAAGAGGTAGCAACTTGGTGGAGAAGTGCCCTTCTTTGGAGAACTTTCTTTAGCACAGCAGTTGTGGTGGTGGTGCTCAGGGCTTTCATTGAAATATGCAATTCTGGAAAATGTGGGCTCTTTGGTACTGGGGGACTTATCATGTTTGATGTGAGCAATGTAATAGTTAGATATCATGTAATAGATGTCATCCCTGTAACCATCATTGGCATTATTGGTGGAGTTCTGGGAAGCCTCTACAACCATCTTTTGCACAAAATCCTCCGACTCTACAATCTCATTAATCAGTAAGCAACTGAATCGAACTTTCTTATTCAATTATTTTTTCTCTCTTCAAGAATAGATTCACTGCTGAGAATGTTGAAACTGAACCTGAATTGATTTGTAAGTTCAAATGCTCAAGTGATTGCTCTTTGTTTTATTGCAGGAAAGGAAAAATACATAAGCTACTGCTTAGTCTCTCTGTCTCACTCTTCACTTCCGTGTGCCTATATTGTCTCCCTTTCTTTGCCAAATGCAAAGCTTGTGATCCTTCCTTTACTGAAACTTGCCCCACCAATGGACGATCAGGAAACTTCAAGCAATTCAACTGCCCAGATGGCTACTACAATGACCTCGCTACTCTTCTCCTTACTACCAACGATGATGCTGTTCGAAACATCTTCTCCTCCAATACTGCCACTGAATTTCACATCACTTCCCTCCTAATTTTCTTTGCACTGTATTGCATTTTAGGACTCTTTACTTTTGGCATTGCTGTGCCTTCTGGACTTTTCCTCCCAATCATCCTGATGGGCTCAGCCTATGGCCGTCTTCTTGGCATTGCCATGGGATCCTATACCAAAATTGACCAGGGGCTCTATGCTGTTCTTGGCGCGGCCTCTCTCATGGCTGGCTCAATGAGGATGACTGTTTCACTTTGCGTAATATTTCTTGAACTAACCAACAATCTTCTGTTACTTCCTATGACAATGATTGTTCTTCTAATAGCTAAAACAGTTGGAGATAGCTTCAATCCAAGCATATACGAAATCATACTGGAACTAAAAGGCCTACCTTTCTTGGATGCAAATCCAGAGCCATGGATGAGAAATCTCACAGTTGGAGAGCTTGCTGATGCCAAGCCACCAGTGATTACCCTGTATGGAATAGAGAAGGTGTCCCGCGTTGTTGAAGTACTGAAAAATACTACACATAATGCCTTTCCTGTAATAGTCGATGGAGTGGTACCACCAACAGGACTAGCCATTGGAGCCACAGAACTGCATGGATTGATCCTGAGAGCTCATCTTGTTCAAGCTCTGAAGAAGAAGTGGTTCCTTCAGGAGAAAAGGAGGACAGAGGAGTGGGAAGTGAGGGAGAAATTTACATGGGTAGAGCTCGCTGAGAGAGGGGGGAAGATAGAGGGAGTGGCCGTGGCAAGTGATGAAATGGAAATGTACATTGATTTGCATCCTCTTACCAATACAACTCCTTACACAGTGATGGAGAGCATGTCAGTGGCGAAAGCTCTAGTGCTTTTCCGGCAAGTAGGGCTCCGCCATATGCTCATTGTCCCCAAGTATGAAGCAGCAGGGGTGAGTTCATCTATCTTCTCTCTATGCTAACATAAAGGATGTTTACTTTTCAGATTTATATCATCACATAGCTACTTAACTTTCCAGAACTCAAAAGTTAATTGGGTTTAATTGTTGCTTCCACTGGCTTGTTTGATGATACTGATTGATTACAATAACATTTTATGAGCTGAATTTGCAGGCGTCTCCAGTGGTGGGGATCTTGACCAGGCAAGATTTAAGGGCTTACAACATTTTGACAGCCTTTCCACATCTGGCAAAATCTAAAGGCGCAGAAAAGCACTGAAGAAGTAAGAACATCTCTAAATATCATGGCAATAGCAGCTTTTTGGAGGAAAATTACTCGTGTTTTGTTCTTCTTAAATTTTTTACCTCAGTTTTGCATTCTTTCACAAAATATGGGTAAGCATACAACAGAGATGTAAAACTTCATTCGATTGCACCTATTCTTTCCATACATATTTGAATCAAATGAAACATTCTTATTTTACATGAAAAGAACAAAAAGAAGGGCTTGACAGTATACACTTTCTTTTTCCCTATTATGAACTTTTGTCACAAGTTCATCTTCTTGATTTACCTTCCCGCATAGAAACTTCTTTCTATTCTTTCTCTCCAGTTACTCTAGAACAACTGGACATGTCAAAACTTGCAGCAAAACCCAGGCAAAAATATTAATCACATGCTTTTCTTCTTCTTCTTCTTTCCAGATTTCTTTTTCTTGAGGCCTTGGCCTTGACCCCTCTTGAAGACAGCCAAAACTTCAATGCTGCAATCATCGCAAAATACTTATCAATGTGATTTTAAAGCAAAGAAGAAAAAGGGAGGAAGAACGTATACAACATAGGATTAATAAGCACAAGTATAGGATGTTCACTTGTTTCTAGTGGTAATCAGAAAGGCAATTTCAATGAAATTGGAGTACCTCTGGGTGCCAGGGAAGAAATTATAACCGTGGACTTTCTCCAAATGCCATTTCTTGCTAGACAACAATGACTTGCAGTCCTGTTAGATGATTTGGCACAATTAGCTTAAGAAAATAATCCAAAGTAAAATTTAAGAATGACCTGCAAACATATGACCTAATTATATGGCACTACAATAGTGGCTGCTTTAATTGTATAGCTACCTCTTTAAAGCTTTGCCATCCACAGCTTATATAAATGAGGGTTTGAGGAAGTGATTGACTGTCCTCCGAATTTATTTTGTTTCCAACTTGAACAGAAGACTCACTTGCAGCCTCCCTCGCACGTAAAATCCATGGTCTCTTTTCCTCTTTTTCTTTTAGGGATACACTGAAAGTTGACACAAAATAGATTAACAACTTGCAAAGCATTGATTACAGCAAATCTCGAAGGGAAACTGAAAAGAATTGTTAGGGTCCAGAAAATGGTCCTACCTTTCTGATGATGATTTAGCTTTTTTCTCCACTGATGAGATAGTTTGTAATGCATCAAGAAGAGATGCGTCCAGTCCCTTTCTAGGAGGATCAACAATTAGCACTTCTGATCCAACAAGCCAGGAAAGAGGTTCCTGCACAATATGTTGATGAATCATTAAATTTATTTTGGACACTTCACAACCATGTATAAGCCGACTGAGAAACTAAAAAGTTGCAAGCAGTCTCTATTTCATTTAGAGTTTGAAGAATTTGCATATATAAATCTAAAACAGAAAAATTAAAATTACAGCCATAACCATATAACCAACTTGTAAAATAAATCTGTGAATATTTCAAATATGAAATTCTAAGGGCAGTTCTAAGATGCATAGGATCATAAATTTAATTTGTAGAGTTAAACACCAACAATTGAAGTGTCTGCATTGTGCCAGCTGATGCTGCTATCCACTGATTTGGGTAAGCGGCTAACTGTCTTCTCAAAAGATAGCTTTGACTCTTTGTTAATCTCAATGCATCTTACAGACCTGGAAAACCATAAATTCATAGATTGGAGTTAATAAGCCTTCAATTTAGATTTTGGAAATAAGAATGGGACTTTAAACTCCAGAGCATTTAAATTATTCGGTTCTTACCTGCATTTTCTAGAGGCAGCTAATGAAATTCCAATCACACCAGCTCCTGCATACAAATCAGTGACAGATGCTCCATAAGGGACATACTTTTGTAATTTCCGTAGCAAGATATCAAAAGCCTGAAAAGGTGCATATCACTGAGTAATATCAAATATGGATTTTTGAAGCTCAAGAAAATAAGGTTAGGTATGTCTTGCCAATTATCAAGTCCAGATATCATAAAATAGTGATCTATAGCTAGCTCCAGGAGTTGCAATGACACAAAAGGGGGCCAAAAATTTTAAGCGTCCAATTGCAAAAATAAAACACTGAAAGCCATTTTACTTCTTTCAGATCATGGCATGTTTAGTCCTGACATTATACACTTACTGATAATTGTATTAGGGAAGGCCAGTTTTTATAAATGTTTTGACGACGTTGGGCCCTATCTCCATCATTGCTTTTCAATACGAGTTTAAGTCCCAAGCATTTCCTTTCTTTTCTAAAAATTACTTGACTGTGATCTTAGCTTACCCTTGTGTTTGCTTGACCAAAACTAGATGGTGCCAAGGATATATCAATTCCTCCAACATGTTCCCAAAAGTCATTCTCTCCTAAAAGATGTCTCCATCTGTTCCCAAATATGACCTGTATTATCAGCAGAGCTTAGATAAGTACCAAAGATTCAAATCATTTGAAACAGGCAGCAATCCATAGCCATGGAAACAATGTCACACATGCCGCAGCAGGTACCAATTCATCCAAGTTATCAAAACACAGCCACTTCAACTTAGATGTAAGTTTTTGCAAACAATAGCTGTGGTGGAAAATATTTATATTCAATTGCTCAAGATTTGGCCAAAAATTATTTTCATTGTTTGATACTCTTCACCATTTCATTATATAAGAAAGCTTGTTACATTAAGAGTTACTTCAAGCAAAAGAAAACATAGTTCAAACGATTCCAAACTTCAAAACAGCTTTTGCCTCTCACCAAGTCATCTAGAGAATTTTCTAAAATTAATAAGACATCATCCGTCAATAGTTAAAATGTTTCCCATTTAGACAACTGAAAAAAAAAAAAAAAAGGCATTTTTCATCAATTACTAAGTCGATTCACATTATTACCATCTTTGACTCGTCACCATCATAATTGGTCTTTTACAATCTATAAAAGCACAAACAATACGAATCAACAATCAGATGCAAAAGTTTCATCATTACTTCATCAATCCCCCTTTTTTTAAAGAAAAAAACCTTTGAACTCACATTATTAGTTGATGTCTGAAAGTTGGCCCATACAGAGTGAATATAATGGTCATTGCTCCTTGACCCACCATTCCTCCACAAGAACTGCAAAATGCAATAAAGTGAAGACAATAAAAAAGGGAAAGAAAGATTCAGAACAGAATAAAAAATAAATAAGGTGGCACACTCACATAGGCCAAGGCATCTAATTTGTCTGAATTAGGAGATTTCTCATTTCTCGAATTCCAAACTAAAGTAATTTGTACTTTGCCTGTAAGCACAATAAAAACCAAGTAACTTAAATCATAAAAAAGTCAATCAAAGTTTAAACAGTTCAAATTCAACAGTCCAAAAAGGCAAAGTGCTTAGTGACCATTTCTGTATCTTTCTGAGGCAGGAATGGATGTGTTGTGTGTTGTCACAGCCATCTGCACAAAAACAGGTCATTTAATCAAATTTGAACTGTCACAGATAACAAAAATTTTAACAATTGATCATTCATCTTAACTAGGTATACAGTTAATATTAACAACATTAGCCACCTGCACATATCTCAAATCACCTGTCCCCTGGTCCTCATCGTATGGCTCAACATTCAATTGTTTAATTCCTACAAATATCCATAGAGCAGCATAAACAATCAAACAAATTTACTTTTACGGATGTCGATCTTTACTAATATTAAAGAAGAAACAGTTAAACATACTTTTTCTTCCCAAAAAAAAAAAAAAGTAGAAAAATCACTCTAAAAGAATTCTTAAATAAGGTAATCATATAATTTTTTTTTAAAAAAAAAAGGTCTCAGCTGATACTCAAGAGCAAGAAAAAGACCTTGTCTCAGTAGCTCAACAGCAGCATTAATACGAGGATGATGAGCTGCAAAATTAACACCCACAATCAATCCAATTACTCAATTAACACATTGAAGATACATAAACATCAACAAAAATTAGATTATATATAATCACAATAAATAAATGATAATTCAAACCTTTACAGTCGGGAATATCCACTACATTATGAGTACCCTCCTGATAAAGCCCAATCAGAGGGCTCATCGACGACCCACGAACCGCCAGTTTGGCTCGACACCTCCATCCGTACTGTTAACAACAATTAACATTTAAAAAAAAAAAACCCTAATTTTAAATTAAAAGAGCGAAACAAGAAATTAACTGAGAAATGAAAATTTAACTTAATTACCAGTCTACAGCTATCGAAAGTGAAATCTGAGACACCGAGACTCTTGAAGAAATCAGTAGCCTCGTCGACGATGGGCCGACGGTGGAGATTGAACTCGTGCGTGCAACCGGAGCACCTGAAAATTTTCAACTAGATGAATTACACAACATAAATGTTTTCGAAACCTACAAGAGTGAAGAGAGGGTGCGTACGATTGGAAGTGAGGGCACTGAAGGGCGCACGTTAGAGAGGGGAGGGCGGTTGTAGGAGGGTTTAGAGGGAGAGAAGGAGGTGAAGGTGTGCGCACTGCTTCAGTGGACACGCGGCAGGAGATGAATGGAAAGGGAGGACGGGCGGAGAGGAGGCAGGGAGGCATTTGTGAAGCAGCAAGCTGGTGAGTAGAGTGAAGCTCAACTGTTGCTCCCTGGCGGGAATGGATAAAGTAGTCTCATAAAAAATATCTAATATTACAATATTATTACATAAAATAGTTGACCCGTGGTCAATGTATAAAAAGTAATATTACAATTATTAAAGGAACGCATCAAACGTGTGACGTAATTTTAATTGTTCATTAATATTAATTCATAATTAACCAATAATTAGGACTATATCGTATTATTCGATGCATCCAGTCTTTTTCTTTCTCTAACTGTATTATTTTCCTTTATAAAAAGGTGATGGATTAATATCAAAAGTCATGCACTTCAGTCAACTTAATCTATGTCCAGTCACTTCAATAATGATTAATGTCAATCCATTCCAATCCGCTAACATTACAGAGCTACCGTGAACTTTGTGCATTGCCTGGAAATTGCATATTCTTTATCAAATGAATAATATTACATCATTATATAAGTAGCATATATAAAATATATATTACTTATTAGAGATATATCTTTAAGATGTCTACGGGCACAGCACTCTTGTAGAATTTTAATGGCGGCTAATCAAGTGGGAAAGTGAGACAACTGAGGCTCGCGGCTGCCATTACAGGTTCCCCCATTTTCCACCCCCAGTTTGGCTTAGTGGTTTCAAGATTTCAACGACTTTAAGCGAAGTGCCTAATTTTTTAATAGTTTAACATTGAAGAATAAATCATTTCGCAGAATTCCGTGACTGAGGCTGTTTTTTTTCATAGAGCACTTGTACAGACAATTGTAGAAATTGCCTGGTAACTAGTAATGGAAGGAGACCAGAAACTGACTCACCTACTATAATTAATCTATAAGTAACGCGACTTCTTCAAGGCATTTTCATTGAGTTTCCTCTGCAATATTCATGGCAACTAGTGCCAAAACCTCCGTCCAACTTCTTCTACTTCTAATACTGTCCTCTAGGTTCCTCAGTCTTGAAACTGTAATACTTGTTTCATGTGCTAGCAGTCACAATGCTAGTTGCTTGGAAATTGAGAGAAAAGCTCTTCTCAACTTCAAACAAGGTCTCGTGGATCCTTCACATAGGCTGTCTTCCTGGGTTGGCAGAGACTGCTGTAATTGGGCTGGTGTGACTTGCAACAACAAGACTGGACATGTCGTTATGCTCGATCTGCACAACGAGTATTCGGCTGCTGATGGTGATGAAACTTCATACAACTATTCGAGCCCTGATGGTGATGGAACTTCATATGCGTTGGCTGGTGAGATCAATTCTTCTTTGCTTGAATTGAAACATTTGACATCCTTAGACTTAAGCATGAACAATTTTGAAGGGATTCCAATCCCAAAATTTATTGGATCACTTAAGACATTGAGATATCTCAATCTCTCTGGTGCATCCTTTGGTGGGACTATTCCTTCAAGTCTGGGAAATCTTTCAAGCTTGCTATATCTAGATCTAGAAAGTAATATAGTTGAATCGAATAAGATTGGCCTAAACTGGTTGTTAGGTCTTTCTTCTTTGAAACATCTAAATTTGGGAAGTATTGATCTAAGTGAGGCCAAAACTAACTGGCTTCACGCTGTGAACATGGTTCCATCACTTTCAGAATTGCATCTACCAGCTTGTGGACTTTCTATTCTTCCTCAGTCTCTTCCACTAGTTAATCTTACATCTCTTTCAGTGCTTGATCTCTCCAATAATGGCTTCAACTCCTCAATACCTTCCTGGCTTTTCAACTTAAGCAGTCTTGTTTATGTTGATCTCAGCTCTAATCAGCTCCGGGGTGGAGTTCCTGGTGAATTTGCAGGCTTGCATCTTATTCAACACATTGATCTGTCAGAGAATTCATTTATCAACGGCAAGTTACCTAGAAATCTAGGCAAGCTCTGCCATTTGCGTGTGCTTGATCTATCCTTCAACAAGATCAGCGGTGAGATGACAGAATTCACTGATGGCTTGTCTAATTGCACCAACTGCAGGTTAGAGTACTTACATTTGGGGTACAATATACTGGGTGGGAATATTCCTAATTCCTTAGGACACTTGAGGAATTTGAAAAATCTTCTACTCCATAAAAACCCTTTCTCAGGTTCCATCCCTGACTCCATTGGAAATTTGTCATCCTTAGAAGGATTCTACCTTTCTGAAAATGGAATGAAAGGAACAATTCCAGCTAGTCTAGGACAACTCTCATCCTTAGTTGTGTTAGATATAAAATATAATCAGTGGGAGGGTGTCATAACAGAAGCTCATTTTTCTAATCTCACAAGCTTAAAAGAGTTATCGATTGTCCAGAGTTATTCTAACATCACCTTGGTTTTTAATGTGAGTTCTGAGTGGATTCCTACTTTCAAACTTAAGTACCTCAACCTCAAATCCTGTCTAGTGGGTCCAAAATTTCCTATGTGGCTAAGCAATCAAAACGAACTAAACTATGTGGCTATTTGGCATGCTAATATTTCAGACACCATACCAGATTGGTTTTGGAAGTTAGATTTGTTTCTGGATGTTTTGGACTTCAGTTATAATCAGTTGAACGGTACAATACCGAACACAATCAAGTTCGGTCCTAATGCTATAGTGTTCTTGAACTACAACCGCTTTACTGGCCCTTTGCCAGTATTTTCATCAAATGTCACTTCTTTCCATTTGGATAATAACTTTTTTTCTGGACCCATTCCTGAAGACTTCGGTGAACGAATGCCCATGTTGTCAGATGTTGACATCTCTTTTAACTCCCTAGCTGGTTCCATTCCCTTGTCAATTGGGAATTTAAGTAATTTGCTCACTCTTGTTCTCGCCAATAACCAGTTGACAGGAAAAATCCCAGATTTCTGGTCTAGTTTAACAGAAGTCTATGTCATAAACGTGGCAAACAACAACTTAACTGGTGAGATACCAAATTCGTTGGGTAATTTAGGTTCTGTTTCACCTTTATTCCTGACGCTGAGCAACAACCAGCTATCAGGGGAAATTCCTTCAGCCTTGAAGAACTGCACAGAAATTACAACTCTTGATCTTGGAGATAATAAACTTTCGGGTAGTATTCCGACTTGGATAGGAGAAAGGTTCCCATCTCTGCTGATTTTACGTCTAAGGTCAAACTTGTTCCATGGAAGCATTCCCTCACAATTATGCAATCTCTCCTCTCTTCATATATTGGACCTTGCTCATAATAATCTTTCAGGATCAATTCCCCCATGTCTAGGGAATTTGAGTGGTATTTCTTTTGATGCTGAAAATGTGAGATATGAAGGGCAGTTGTTGGTGGCAACAAAGGGAAGAGAATACCTGTATGATACGGGGAATCTCTATCTTGTGAATAGCATTGACCTTTCTAGCAACAGCCTGCGCGGAGAGTTGCCTGATCTTACAAATCTTTCAAGGCTGGGGATCTTAAACTTATCTATGAATCATTTGACTGGGAAAATACCTGAGAGCATTGGAAGCTTAAAACAGTTGGAAACTCTTGACCTCTCCATAAATCAATTTTTTGGTCCCATACCAACCAGTTTGGCCGCTTCTACTTTTCTTTCTCATTTGAACGTCTCACACAATAATCTGTCTGGACAAATCCCATCAGCCAACCAATTCCAAACCTTCAATGATCCATCAATTTACGAGGGTAACACAGCACTTTGTGGGTCTCCACTACCCAAAAAGTGCAACGAAGACGAAAAAGCATCTCACTTTCCCAATGGAGAAGAAACAGATGATGAAGACAAGGATAAACTTGAAAATCTATTGTTTTACAGCACCATAGTACTGGGATTTCTCATTGGATTTTGGGGAGTTTGTGGTTCATTGATAATAAAGAATTCTTGGAGGCTTGCCTTTTTCAAATTGGTGGATGACATGAAAGATAAACTCATCTTGGCTGTCTCATTAACATGGGCACGTCTCCAGAGATCGGCAGAAGAATGGAACTAAGTTTAATGACAGGATATATTCGCATGTCTGAACATTAATGCGTTGTCTTTCCTAAATTTGTCAATCTCTGTGTTCAGTTTTGTAGAACAAAGTTCGAATAACTTAAGAATACATAGCGATTAATGCAATAAAAAGGTATTATAAGTTCTGTTGGAATGCAAATCTTTACCATTTAACGGAACATGATCTAACAGAGGATAATACAGATATAAGTTTTGTTAAACACAGACAGCCGTAAGACAATAACACAAGAATGCCTATAAAAACTAGTATCACCATCTAGTACTAATATTTGATGTTACAATACCATCAATTTATTTAACCATAGTATAAATCCACAGAAAGGAGCTTGGTGGGGTTCTTGTCATGCAACAGTCAGGCCTCGGGGTACTTGCATATGAAAAATAGTGCACACTTAAGGAGTCATTACACGAGTAACAAGAATTACTCGCAGAGATGAGGTTGAGGAATATAACGTGGGATTCTGGAACACCTTTCTGTATCACTAGTTCCTTTCTGAAAAATTTCAAACAGTTGAATTGTAAAACATAAAAATTAAGGGAGGGTGCATCCGATTGGAAGTAGAGGCATGAAGGGTGCACGTTAGAGAGCGGAGGGCGGTTGCGGGAGGGTTTAGAGAGAGAGATGGAGGGATGCGCACTGCTTGCGGCAGGAGATGAAAGGACAGGGACGACGGAAGGAGAGGAGGCAAGGAGGCATATGTTCTGCGTCGAGTGAGTACAGTTAGGTTAATTATTGCATTATTCAACACAACGTAACTTTGATAATTAGTTTTCATATTAATTGATGTAAAATATTTTTTTAATAAAGAAGCTGGTAAGAATAAAGATGGGAACTGCAAGTGTGAAGATGACTAAACTAGTAAACTTCACTAGTCCATCAGTTCATGGTATTATGAGGTGATGGATTAAGACTGGTCAAAAGTCATTCACTAATCACTCGTGGTCCACTTTGTCCGTGTACTATTGGCACCACCAAATCAGCTAACCTTATTGGACTCTCACCATTCACTTTAAAATTGACTAATGCTATGTTTGACCATTCCAGCCACCGCCCTTTAGAGAGCTTGAGTGAACTCTGCAAATTTCCTATGCTTAGAAATCACCAAATCTTCATAACGTTCTTCCATAACTTGGTTCAGTGGTCTGAACGAGTTTGTGGATAGTCTGTATTACATTTATAAATGAATCATTTGCGTAGTATACAGTGACTGATGCAAACTTCTTTAATAATTTTTGGCTGGGAACGCTAGTCTCTTAGTGCAGAAAATTACCCGGAAAATGGTATCTAGTCTATACTAATGGAAGGAACAATCGTACGAATTTCTAGTGCAGGTTTTAGGGGTCTAAATTTCTATGAAGACACGTTAAATTATAGAGGAGAAATTGACTCACCCAATATTATTAAGAGAAATGCTTGACGTACAAAAAATCTTATAAAGAGTCTTTGTACAAAGTGGTGTGACACCTACCCTCTTTCTTTAGTTTTTTCTCTTTCTTTTCATTCTCTTCTTCTTCTTCCTCAATCTTCTCTCCGTTTTGTAGATATAAGAAAATAAAAACATATTATTTTTCTTTTTCCTTTATCATTGATTTTCTAAAAAATTTTCTCTCCTCTATCTTCTTTTTCCCTCATCTCTTCTTCCTCATCTTCTATTTCTTTTTCCTTTTTCCCTTATATTTTCTCATGGATTCCCTCGATAAATTTTTTCTACATTCTGGTTCACATTTTCTCATAAAATTCCATCTCTAAACAAACAATGTAGAAAAGCAGAGTGTAAAGATGTAAGAGAGAATCGGATCACCAAGATTTAAATCGGTTCATTGTGCCTGAAAGGAACTCACCCACCGCACCTTACAAACTTAACTTCACTGACTATACTTGAGGTGATGAAGAACGAACAGAGTGGGCCTATCCCGACTCTTGTTGGGTTGATTTCTCTTTAAGAAGTGCTTTTTAATAATAACAATTTTTCATATTTCCCTTGGATTTCTTTTTTGGGTCAACTTCTTTGCAAAGTGTAAGCCTTGATTATAATTCCTTTGAGTCTTGAGAGATTCATGTGGGTTTAACAAATGCAATGGCTTTGCAGAAGTTTTTAGCAAACTTTGCTAATATTTCAGGTACTATTCCTGGGGGATGTATTTCCACTGTAGGGCTGTGCAAAACCGGATACCCGAATATTCGGGTACCCCTAAAAACGTACCCGCTAACTAAACCAGTTTTAGAATACCCGGTTTTGCGGGTACTCGAAAATTCGGGTCACAAATCTGGTATCCGATTTGTGTTTGTGACCCGAATTTGATTAAAAATTTAAAATTACACAGCAGACTGCACCAGCTTTGTAATTCATGGTCCAGAAATTTTGTAGTCAAAGTTGCACGGGAAGAAGCAGAAGCTAAAAGAAAAGAAATAAAAGAAGCAGTGAAAAAAAGCAGTTTTGTTTACTCATACTATTCATTCATTCAAGAACTTGATTTTTTCTTTCTTTCATGCTTTCGCTTTTATTGAATGAATTGATTGAAGGCATTTGAATAGAAAAGAAAAGCAGCAGTTGGTAGAAAAATTTAAAGAAAAAGCATGGGAAACCTCCACTATCACCTTCTCCAAAAGCACTTTCACATGACTTGCGTGTGCTTCTCTCTGCAATGGAGAATGTGAAATCACCTGACATATTGCATGGGTCACATTAACCAACCCTATTTCTATTTCAATTTCAAACAACACACATAATGGAAGAGAGATAATAATAGAGTTGATGACCCAAAACCCTATAACACATGAAAACATTTTTTAAAAAGTGTTTTCAGTTTTTTACTTGCTACTATTTTTATATTTCTTCTTCTTAATTCAAGTCAGAATCGTAATGCATGGTGCAAAATTTAGTATACACCAAACATCAAATGTAATACTACAGCAAACATACTTAAGAAATGAAAAATGTCTTTTACATTTAATCCACCAAACATAATACTGCAGCAACAAACACTTGTAAAAAATGGCAAAATGCCCCAGAATTACACCAGTACATAGCAAACTTATACAGCAGTACCGTAGAGCTGGCCAAGAGAAATTGCAAGTTGAAGTATGTAGCTGTATGACTTTCCTTTGGCTACAGCAATCCTGCAGAAATTAGTTACCATTAGGACCATCATTCGTGTGGAGTTTCAAGAAATAAAATCTGATTTTAGACTAGCGAAATAGAATATGAAATTATCATTTTGTGAAGTGAAGTGAAGTCTTACACTGCTAGAAGACTAGCAGGGCCCTCCAGAACTGCACTACAGTTAGTCCTTCAACAGCAACAACTCCTGCATCTCTTGCCGCATATCTTGAATCACCTTTGCTATATTCTTTCCCTAGCAGCTTTCATATATGAGTATCATCCACTATAGGACTTATGGTTCAAGAGCAATCTTAACTGATTTTATGCCAATTTTCATAGATGAAAAGAAAGAAATGACTTACAAACTTCAGCCAGCCTCACCACCAACCATAAACTAGCATCATGACGATCAAAATTAACACTGTAATTCAAAGTTTACTCATCATTATAAGCACAACCCAACAAACTTTACTCATCAATATAGGCAATTCAATTAAAGTAAAGGATTAATCAATAATTTGAAAAAGGATTTGCATATTCTACCTTTTAGGGGCTGCACCAATACAAAATTCATAGAGGTAGTCTGAATCATCAATCATGTAGATGACCATGACTACGAATACTCTCCAATGCCGTACACGAAAATTCTACATAAAGATTGGAAATAACATTATATAAGTAACGGTACAAAATGGAGTCAATAAGTAAGATATAAGTTATAATTAAATATTAAATATATGAAACTAAAACAAAAGTTTTACCTAACTCAATTTCCAATAATTCCTCCAAGCTCTCCTGAATAAGAAATGGTACACGCGTAGCCCGAATCCAATCCTACGCACAAATAAGAGCCTCCATTGTCTTAGGAGTAAGAGAGCTACGAAATGGATCTAAGACACGACCCCCTGTACTAAAAGATGACTCAGATGCAATAGTGGAAATAGGCATAGCCAAAACATCGCGTGCCATCAAAGAGAGAATTTGATATCTTGCTGAGTTTATCTTCCACCAACTCAAGATATCAAAGTTGTCATTCTCATCTTCAAGGCTTTCCCGTAAATATTTATCCAACTCAGATTTCGGCTCCAAAGCACGTCGTCCAGCCCTTTGTTGATTAAACATAACCTTCATAAAGACTTTTGGATCAACATTTGCATCAGTTACATCAATCCCTGTTGCAACTTGAGATTGCTCACTTGACGGCGCACTAGGACAAGCCTTACGCAAACTGTATTCCTCAAATAAAGAGAACAAAGTGTCAGTCACTTTTTTTTTCAACTTCTCAGCATCAACATCATCATACGCACTATCAATAGCCCAATATGCGTATTCTAACTTGTGCCTAGGATCCAATACCACTGTAATGAATATCATTAAGTTGATATTATCAAGATTTGCCCAATATTTATCATGTTTTGCTTTCATCTTAGCTATCATTAAACGTAAGCCAGGATCACTACTGTTACACCATGTATTAATCTTCAATGCAATGCTATATATCACTTCCATGTATCCATTAGAGGTAACATAAAGAGAGCCAGACACTTGTAGAGTAGTATCATAAAAAACCTTCAGAAAAGGCAACAACTATCAAGCATAATCCCAATCAGTAATTGTAGGCAAACCCTTTGACCTTTCCCCAACAGTAATCTCATCTTTAAACTTAGGGTCTTGGATTTCCAATAACTCAAATGCTCTCTGAAATTTTAAAGCCACTTCCAACATCAAATAAGTGGAGTTCCATCTTGTTTCTACATCAAGAACTAGAAGACTTTTAGTTTCCAATTTTTCTTGCTCCATACACTCCTTAAACCTTTGTAATCTTGCTGGAGAAGATCTCACATACCTCACTGTAGAATGAATCCTAAATATTGAGTCATCCAACTCTTTTAACCCCTCTTTAACAGTCAGACTCAATAAATGCGCAGAACATCTCATATGAAGAAACTTACCCTTCAAGACACTTCCATTCCAATGTTCTAACCGATGCTTAAGATAAGTTATTCCTACATC